TGGTGGTGGCACAGGGGTGATTTGGTGATGGGAAACCCGTGGGGATTACAATTGAGATGAAAAAAAAATGTGCAAAATGATGTAAAAATAAACTTTTTAATAAAAAAAAAAGAACAAAAAAAAATACAGGACACACAATTAAACTTGGATTTTAGAAAAACTGTAGTCTTAAATATTCAATATTTTTGACTGACTCATACTAAAAAGTGCTTTATAGTTTATCAGAAATTGAAATTTAACTGTGTGTCCTCTAATTTCGTTCCTTCCCCACAAATGTATCTGGCAATTCCATGCATGACCCCAGATTGCCTGCTCTTATAATTTAAAAAGTACTTAACCCACCATGAGTTTAAACTGTTAAGTAATATATTGCTTGCTTGTGAACTCTTTCCTGATACAATAGTAATTTATAAAAAAGTGCCTCCCCTAGGGAAGTGCACTGGACTATGGTGATGGCACATGGGTGACTTGGTGATGGGAAACCCATGGAGATTACAATTGAGATAAGAAAAAACAATGTACAAAATGATGTAAAAATAACCTATTATATTATATATATGTGTGTATATATATGTATATATGTGTGTGTGTATATAAAGTGCCTCCCCTTTTTGTTGGGTGTTCATCACGTGTCAGAGACTGTGCTAGTTAGCAGTTTGTAATTAAATCAAGAGGTAGGCCCTGCCTTCGAGTTTGCAGTCTGATTGGAGTGAGAGCAACTAAATGAGTGATTCTGTAATTGACAGTATAATCGTAATTAGTGCTGTGAGGAAAAGAAGACAGTTTGTGAATGGGGGGGGCGGGCGGGGAGGAGAGGGAGACTAGGGAATTTCCCCCTGCAGTGGGATTTTAGGGGCAATCTAAAGAAGTAGGAGTCAGCAGGCAGGAGGGAGAAAAGGATTGTGGAAGTTTGCTTTAAGCATTGAGAGCAGCATGTGTGTCCCCTCCTGGGGCAGGAGGGTCCTGGTAAGTTTGAGGAGAGAACTTCCCAGTGGCTCAGGAGCAGGGGGGTTGAGTGATGAAAATGAGGGTGGAGAGACACACTGAAGCAGAAAAGGGAATATTCTGCAGGTCCTATAAGGATTTTCAGACTTTATCCTTACTCTGTACTACACTCATGCTGAGTATTGTTGAACTTTCCACCTTAAAAAGAGGAAATAAAGATTTCAAATAGCTTGATGGAAGTCATAACTATCAAGTAGATGAACTGTGACTTGAGCTCAGATATTTTGGTGGAGTATGTGACAAAAAAAAAAAACCCTCCTAATCATTGCTGAGTGCAAGGAAGTTAGAAATTTACAAATAATGAGAGCTGATAAAATAAATTCATAGAGAATGTTTAAAATTAATTTAACATTATATTTTATACCTGTAAGGATTAAGAGGGTTTTGGGCAATCTGTATGACTGAACAAAAAAAGCTGATCATTATGACAGGCAGTTTAAAATCCAGCTTTGAAACTGGCCTCGAAAAATTAATTCAGATTCCCAGCTTGTACTTTTTAGGGAGAGGTTCCCTATATTATTATTACTGAAGTAAGTTATTTCTGTGAGTTTAAAACACTGGCTTTACAAAAACGAAATAAAACTAAAAAATCTATTTGTAACAAAATCTCACTTAAGTGACCCAAAGGCTTTAGACATGCTAAACAGTAATAGCAGCATGAATGACAAAATAGCAGCATGAATGACAAAAGACACTGAAATAAAGTTAGTTTATTCAATGTGATTGCTACTCTTGTAATGCCATCATTTGGGCATTGGTTTGGGATGGTAACTAATATATTCTTTTATTATAAATAGAAAAATATCAGAATTTATTATAGATGAGGTAAATGTCTTATGATACTTAATATGTGTGTGTACACATACACAATCATTGACCTAGGTGGAACTGTTCATGACCTGTACTATAGCTGTGTGCTCTCTGGAATAGGGGTAAGTCATTCAGGTAGATTCCTGCTCACTGACATGGATAACTACTTTTCCACAGGCTGGAGAAATCATTTGTGATAAAACAAATAAATAATGAACAAACCAACTAACAATTGTCCTTTTACCAAAGTTCACATTATATCCTAGTTAAAGTACTTAAATATATTCTTTGAGTTTCCTAATTCCCAGGAAAGATTTGGTGCATTCTATATTTATACTGTTACTTGGAAACTTCGGATGCTTCTACTTGCACACCTAGGGAGTAAACATAAACAGAAAAACAGATATAGAATTCTAATTCTCATTGTATTAAATTTTCACACTTAACAACAGTAAATCTCACGTAACAACAGTAAATCTAAGTATATTAGAATGATAGGGATTCTGGAGCCAGAAATGCTGGTTTTCTGTAAAGCATGCTAAATCCAAGCTTCACTATTTTAATCCATGTATTAAATTTAAACCTAAATTGAAATATCAGATGTCCAATGTCATTTGTAATTAGTATATTAATCCTAAGCTTCAAGAAAAATATTACAAAGGGTGCAGAAGAATTCTACTAATTGTTTTGGAGTGTTATCCTTCATTTGGGGAAAGTATTATTACCTTCAGTTTTTGTTTTTAAAACAAGGAAACCTTGCCAAATACTAAGTGACTTTGGCTTAGGAACCCAATGACAACCCTTCCACATTTCTATTACATAGCTCATGTTGGAGAAACACACATTTTTTAAGTATAGTATTTAACCTCTGAAAAATGTAAAGTACACCCTTTGACTAAGCAATTGCTACTTCTGAAAAAATTAATATAATGCAAGAGGAAAACCAGCAATATATATGCAGATATTTTTACAGTACATCATTTGTCAATGTGAAAACTGATGCCAACACTAACACGCAATAACTGGGAAATGGTTCAATAATCTTAGGTTAATTTGGAGTACTGTTCTAGATAGTTATACTACTATTACATTTAAAATTCAATGTATAAAAATGCCAAAAGAAAAATATAAAACTTTGATTATTATTTTGCAATTGTTCATTCCTTTTATTTGAAACTAGGCATGTGACATCTTTCCTCTGCATTAACATTCAATATCAAGTCTTACAATTCATTTTTTTGTTTAAGAATTATTTATTTATGCTTACAGAACTGGAGCACAGGCCAGAGGTGTGAGGGGTGAGAGGATTCACCAGAGACGGAGTGGGGAGCAGAACAGGCAGACTGACAAAGTACACAGCTGAGGGGAGCAGTGGGCAGGTAGAGAGAGGTCTGTCACTCCATGTGGGTCAGCTCCCTGGACAGGGATTGAACTTTTGCTGCAGTGGCTTTGGAGAGCTTCATAATGCAGTGCTTTACCCCATTGCACCACCAGGGAGAGCCCGATTACAGTTCATTTTTAATGGGCCCAATAGAACTCAGCCTGATTCCTTTAAGTGAACTATTTGGTTTCATTATGTAATGAGCTTTGTAGAAAGCTGCTTAAATATTAAGTAATAATTTTAAAAAGAAGTAAGCACAGTAATTAACCAGGTAGCTGTGTAAAAGAGAGACTGATGTGAATACCATCAATATTAAGTGTATACTCATTAAAATGTTAACTTGCTGATGGCTGGGAATACCAGTCATTATTTTTTTCTCTTTTATCTTTATATTAAAAATTCTTGGCCCTCCCTGGTGGCGTAGCGGGTTAAAGCACAGCAGTAAGAAGCTAAAGCCACTGCAGCATGAGTTTGATTCCCGCCTGCCCTGCAGGTGATCCACATGGCGAAGCAGACCTCTCCTGACCAGCCCGCTGCTCCCCTCAGCAGTGTGCTTCGTCAGTCTGCCTATTCTGCTTCCTGCTCTGTCTCTGGTGAATCCTCTCACCACCCTGCACCTGTGGCCTGTACTCCAGTTCTGTATGTATAAATAAATAAATCTTTAAAAAAAAATTCTTTAGGGCCCTCCCTGGTGGCACAAGGGGTTAAAGTGCAGCACTAAGAAGCTATGAGCAGCCAGTGCAGCAGGAGTTGGATCCCTGGCCAGGAAGGTGACCCACATGCAGCAGACCTCTCCTGTCTCACTCACTGCTCACCTCAACAATGTATTTCAGTGGATTTACCTGTCCTGCTCCCCACTCTGTCTGTGGTGAATCCTCTCACCACCCAATTCTCTGGTCTGCACCCCAGTTCTTGTATGCATAAATAAATAAATCCTAAAAAATGTAATTCTTTTAAATAATTAATATGCTTTAATAACAAGATTAAAAATAACCATTTCTAAAGGGAGTTTGAATGTTCCTGGTGACTAGATTGACTTGAGATAATGAAAACAGGTAATGTTTAAATTTTGCCCCAAATCTGGATTTAAATGAGGATGAACATATGATTTTATATCTTACTCTGCTGGATCATTTGTTTCACTAATAGTGAAATTCAGTCTTTGTTGTTTTCCCGTCACGATTATTATTTTATTATAATTATGATTTTTTTAAAAGATTTATTTATTTATTCATACAGAACTGGGGTACAGGCCAGAGATGCGGAGGGTGAGAGGCTTCACCAGAGACAGAGTGGGGAGCAGAACAGGCAGATCGACAAAGTACACTGCTGAGGGGAGCAGCGGGTGGGTCAGGAGAGGTCTGCAGCGCCATGTGGTCACCTCCGGGGCAGGCGGGAATCGAACTCATGCGGAAGTGGCTTTAGCTTCTTAGTGCAGTGCTTTAACCCGCTGCGCCACCAGGGAGGGCCCACAACTATGATTTTAAATGCACAGAATGAATATAGATAAGAAGGTTTATAAAATGTTATGAGAATCTTGAAAAGTTGTCAACCAAAACATCTGAAAGATCTCCAGAGTAGCCTAGTTCCAAACTAATGATTAAACTAGGCTACCTAAGGCTCCAGCTGGCTTCACTATGTTACTGTAGTTGAAAGAACTAGGAGAGGTGGTGAGTTAGTATAAATAACAGCAACTTATTTCTTTTTTAAAGATTTATTTACTTTTGTGTACAAGAGCTGGGGTGTAGGGCAGAGGTATGAAGCAGTGAGAGGATTCACAAGAGCAGAACAGGTAGCTTGAAATACACTGCTGAGGGGAGTAGTGGGTGAGACAGGAGAGATCTGTTGTGTGAGTTAGTGGCAGGGGATCAAATTTGTGCTGCAGTGGCTGCTGATAGCTTCATAATGCATAAACTTAACTCCTTATGCCACCAGGGAGGCCCTAACAGCAGCTTATTTATTTATGCTGGAGAATGACTGACAGCAGGTAGGAAAAGCTGATTTGCTTTGAAGTTTATGTCTCTACTAATATTTGTTGTTTTTTAAATCATTCTTAAAACTCTACCCACTATCTAAACACAAACAAGAAACAAGAGTTGAATAACTCCTTTTAAACTTTGAGCACATCGATATGGAAAGAGGAGGGTGTCATACATATGGAAATGTACTCTCTTGTGAGCTTACAGTACCCATCAAAACCTGCCTGCTGTTCTTAGTACTTGGAAAAGATGGTGAATTTATTAGCATTTTGATATGGAAATAGAAGCAATTTGCCTGAGCAACATCAAGGTTCCTTTCATCTTTATCAGCAGGTAGAACATAAAGCCAGACTCCAAAGTCTGAAGAACTGGACCTGAGCACAGGCCATAATCGAGAAAATTTAAGACTTGTAGGTGTTGAACAGCTGAAATACCCCTGGAAGTATCTCATTATGGTCAGAAATGGAGCCAGTAATTCTAGAAAAGTGGCTGAGGTGCTATCAGTTATGAAAGCTGACCCCATCCTTCATATGCACTCTCCATATTCACTGGTGCTGGGCCTGGGCCCATTATGAGAGGCCTGCCTTTCATCAGAGTAACAGATGGCAGCACGGGCAGGCGTATCTGGCAAGGATTCCAAGTTCCACTTAAAAGAATGAGTTTTTAAGTGGACCTAGAAATTTCTTCAGATGGTCTCATCCCTACAGGAAGAGCTGATGCTGAAATTAGGAGTATGTAGGATCAATAGCTCAATCCCTAGTTGGAAAGGAATTACTTAGAACCCAGGAAATTGAATTCTAACTGAGATGATGACATTTGGCCTACGGTTGTAGCTTTTCACCAAAAATGTATGTAATATTCTTTATTGCTGGAGTGACTGATGCTGTCTTTTCTCAAGACAGCTGATGACTAACTGCATTTTGCATTTTAGCCATGAAAACTCTTTTTGTTCAAATGTAACAACTAGATCTGTAATTCTGTTCTCCCACCCAGCATTTTCTTCTTTCTTCTGGTTTGTACCTCCTGTCCTTTTTAATCCTTTAGGGGATTTCTCCTCTTAAATCAGATCTTGGCAAAAGTCAATCACATTATTCCCTATTTAGCTCATATTCCTGAGCCAAAGTAGAAAATACTTTCTATAACACTGTTTAAAATGAAGAATCTTAGACATACGCAAAAGTAGTAATAAAAAATATATAAGCCCTTGTAACCACATCTGACATTTATCAGATCATGGGGAATCTTGAAAGGAAACAGTCTTTTTCCATTGGGTGCTGGAGTTAGGAGAATGGTGTTGCCAACAGAGGTGTCTGTGAGTAGAGGGCCCGAATTCAAAATAAACTGAAGCAGGAAGTGGAATGAGGCAGAAACCCATTTGAGCTCCTTAACTGAGCTGAGCCTGAAGCCAGTGAGGCCCCTGAACTTTCTCCTTAAACTAGATTGAGGATTTGCAAAATATGTCATTTAGAATGAAACTTTAAAGACACAGTATATACATATATTTTTTAATTTTGTGTTTACTTTGGAGGCATTTAGGAACTAGATATCCATGGAAAACATTTAAGAGGAATAACAAAGGGATGTGTTAGCTATATCCAAATGAGATAATCAGCATTTTAACTTAACTTGACCAAAAGAATGATTCTTTTTCTTGGAAAACAGAAAAGGGGGATTTATTGAAATACAGTGCTTAGAAAAGCAGCAGGCAAGATGTGAGAGGTAATCTGCCCAAAGAATAAGTTCAAGTTCATTGAAATAATGGCTAGCTACTAAAAATTTTTAACTAACATAAATTTCACAGAGAGATACAGAGAGATTCCCTTAAAAAGCCTCATCATCAGGAACAAGACAAGGGTGTCCACTATCACCACTGCTCTTCAACATAACACTGGAAGTTCTAGCCAGAGCAATAAGACAGGAAAAAGGCATAC